CATGTGTTCATTGTCCGAACATAAAAATCTTTTGCGAAAGTGTTCGTTATCCGATTTGTTCGTTAACTGATCACCCACTGTAGTAGGTAACCTGTATATAATGGAAACCTGTCTACTACTAAAGAGTTGTTTGATTCCTTGGTGTTCCATTAGACAGGTTTGGCTGTATATTGAAAACTGAGCAAATCATACTGTCACATTTTTTATTCATTTTTCAAAAAATATACAAGTTAAAATCATTAAATAATTATCATCAGATTCAGCTTCATTTTTAATTCATGTCTGTGAAAAGTATTGGAATCCAAATACAGTGGGTGATCGGTTAACGAACATAATCTGTTCCAAGACTTTGTTAGTTATCCGAATTGTTTGTTAACCGATTATTGATTTACCATAGGAATTTGATTAATTCATTCTGGAGACTCCAAAAAATAAAAAATATATATACTTTCTTACTATGTTTATTTATATGTAATAATAAAAACACATATATACACAGTCTTGCATTTTTATCAGTTATTTTTTTTTTCTGTTTGTGGGACGTTAAAGAATCTGTTCAATGTTGATTGCTTTTCTCTCTTCTTCAGGATTTTTCAGAAGTAATTAATAGAACTGTCGTCATAGAGATCCCCAAGCCTATTAACCTCAACTTGGTTTGGATGCCATTCTAAGACCGTTGTTCTGACATCCCCCCACTTCTTGAAAAGATCTTTAATAGCAGATGTTGACATTAATCCTTTTTCATCTTCCTCTTTTTCAGAAGAAAACACATCTCTGAGTTTCTTGGTGTTCTTCATTTAAGCATTCTTGGAGTTCTTCTGTCGTCAGATCAGTTTCAGATTCCATTATGAGCTCTTCAATGTCATCTTTTCCAGATCTCTAGCAGTTGTCACAATTTCATCCATAATTTCAGGGACATCATCTCTCTCTCCATGAATGCAGGAGGGACACAACTTTCACCAAGCAGAATTCAACTGTTGAGTGACTTCTGACCATGCCTTTTGAACGAGCCATATAGTTTCAAGAATATCAAATTTTTCTTTCCAAAATGTTTTTAATGTCATCGTTGAGGAGAACTGGCATGCTTCAAAACACCGATGAAACAGTGCTTGAATGTACAATTTCTTGAAACCAGCAATAACATCTTGATCCATTGGTTGAATCAACGAAGTGGTATTCAGAGGTAGAAACTAAACTGTCAGCCAGGGAAAGTCTTCCAGCAAATTATCTTCAAGGTCNATCTTAATTTTACAAAGATATAAAATAAACCTCCTGGTACAGAAGTCTGAAATATTGTATCTCTTTATTCATCTTTGCACTTGCAATACTTTTTATAGTTTAATATGATATCATACCATATGTCATCAATCATCATCCCATTACTTAAATTAATCTGTTTTTATAATAGATTATCACAATATGTTCTTTAAAACTTCTTAAATATTAATCCTTCTTTCCATACAAAATTCTTGTTATTTCCATCTATAATACAATTATTTTCCTCCCAATGCAGAAAGCATGGAGACTGGTGGTATTTCAGCTTTATAACTGCTTTGTGTTTCTTTATTCTTACTTCCAATGATCTTTTAGTCTGCCTCATGTAATATACTTTATGTGTATAAGTACAGTTCAGCCACAATTTATTTTTCTTGAATTATCATATTTTAAATTAAATTTTATTTTTTAACTTCACAGCTAAAAACAAAAAAATTTAACCAAAATATTTTTTTATATTACTCAAAAATCCCACATATATATACAGTAGAGCGTCGTTTATCCGAATCAATTGGGGACTGGGGTTGTTCGGATAACTTATTTTTCAGATAACCGATTATGTACGAAAAAATATATTAACCTATCCCATGTTGAAATTTTTCTCCGTTGCGTGTCGCCTTGAGTTGAACTTTCGTCGATGTTAAGCCTAACATAAACTTTTTAAAATAATAATTGTGGCTATTGTATTGTTAAAAATTATTTCTTTATTTTGTACAAACAAAATGAATATATTGAAAATATAAAAACAAAAAAAAATANTAAGGCTTATTTGTAAAAAATTTTGTTTGATTTTGTGCAATTGTTTATTTTTTGTGTCCCATCAAATATGGAAGATCGAAAGCAGCATTTTCAGCATATTTTGCTCTTTTATTACCGAAAAGGTAAGAATGCTGTTCAAGCAAGAAAAAAATTGTGTGACATGTATGGAGAAAATGTATTGACAGAATGACAGTGCCAAAACTGGTTTACAAAATTTCGTTCTGGCAATTTCAATATTGAAGATGCACCACATTCTGGATGGCCAGTTGAAGCCAATGAAAACAAAATAAAGGTACTGATTGAAGCAAACTATTGAATAATAACACGTGAAATCACTAAGAGATTAAAATTTGTCAAATTGAACTGTTTATGATTACTTCAAATAAATTGGTTTCATTTAAAGCTTGATATATGGGTTCCACATGTTCTTAAAGAGAGATGCTCTCTCTGGTGGGATTTTAAGGAAATTTTTTTTGAGCTTTTACGAGACAATTTAACAATTGATTCGAAAGTGTACCACCATTGAGTAAACAAATTGAGTAATATCATCAAACAGAAAAGGCAGCCAGAACTGATCAACAAAACAGGTGTAGTGTTTTACCACGATAATGTCAAATTTCACACAAGTTTGGTAACTCGTCAGAAACTGTTATAACTTAGATGGGACGTGCTATCACACCAACCATATTCGTCAGATTGAGCACACTCAGATTATTACTTGTTCCTGTCTATACAATTTTTTTTTAACTGTAAGACATTTACTTGAAATGACAATGTCAAAAAAATCACTTGGATCAGTTTTTTGTAAGCAGCGATCAAAACTTTTATGAATGTGAAATCATGCTACTACCAGAAACGATGCCAACAGGTATTTGACCAAAATGGTTGATACATAATTCAACAAAATATTTATTTATTATAAAAATATTGTTTTTTTTCCCACAGAAAAAAAACAAAAATTACTTTCCGAACAACCCAATAAATACATACTGGCTAAAACATTTTTTAAAATGACTTTTCAATTATTTATTTGATCGATCAGTTATTTAAAAATAACACTTTGGACATTTTTTATTAACAGCAACCAAAACACTCAAAAAATCATTAATTGTATTAAAACTTTAACTACCATAACATTTTCATTGATATTTTACCAACCTTCCTCAGGTAAAAGATAAAATTGAATGCAACCAAAAATGTTATATTATTATTTTATAAGCTCTAAATGTAAGGAATAATAATAGTAATAATAATAATGTGGTGAAATAAAATAACAATGTTACACATAAAAAAGAACTAAACTAAAATTTTGAAGGTTTAAACCTACATCATCTAGCTCCGATGCCTAGTGTCTTATTCACTCAACTATTGCTGCTCTGGGACATGAAATTTTTAAAGACTTATAGCTAAACATTGAATTTTTAGAGGACCATTTTTTGAAAATGCTTGAAAAGTGGGTCTTATTATTTGAATAAGGAACTGTTTGTGTTTTAATGCTATGTGCTCGCCAAGTTTCTCTTAAATCTGAGACCTGAACGTCTGGCAGTCTCCTTGTAAGTGACAGTTTAACATGTTACTTTTACTATCCAGATGCCAAACTGATAAGACTACCAGTACCAGCATTAATCAGTAAGTAAAGGTGGTGGTGGTGATAAATAATTTGAAGTAGCAAAAAAATTAAAAACTAGTGAAATGGTGGAAATATTTAAATTTTCCAGAGTGACCACTGCATTACTGTAAAATTATCCACAAAAGCTATCTTAACTTCAACTATCAACAATTTTGATCAAATCAGCATTTGTGTTTCAAAGTTTAGCACTAATTTTAAAATAATAATGATTTTGTTCATATTACGTGTGTTGTGTTATAAATAACAGACATATTATACTGTATTATAAGTAACAGAAATAATTAGAACAAATTAATTTGTTTTAATTAAACATCAAAGTTTTTAAAATAAATCTATTACTTAAAATTAACAGTTGTTTCTAGAAGTTAATTTTGATTTAAAAACTTTGACTGATTGATTTACAAATGCAAGACCTTAACACAGTAAGGCCATGTGATTAACCACACTTTTACCCATTTTTGGTAAGTTTGACCTGCAGTTGTGCATTCAGTAAATGTAGGATAGGGAGCAATACCTGGCCAACACTGCAGAGTGATAAGCTTTGGGATTTAATTTGGATTAGGGTTTCTCTAATGTTCTAATCTTCTCCCAGCTGTTTTCTAACCCAGAAAATATCCTGGGAAATTATTCTCATTCTGGAAAATCCTGCAAATTTCTTAAAAGTTCACTTTTTTCTTATTTTGTGTTAAGGTTGAGGAAATTTTGCAAATAGAAAGTATAATTAAGTCAAACTGTCAGAATACATTTGCATTTATTAATTTTAAGCCTGCTTATTAGTTTTTTAAATTTTTGCTTGGTATGGCATGTCACAGATTGTTAATAATCAATATGTAGCCTATTTGTGGCAGGACTCTGAAAATTCTTTACTTGTCAGAATTTGTAATATCTTGAATAATTGTGCTGATGCTGTCTTAATTTTTAACCATGCCCAGTAACTTCAATAACTGCATTATGCCAGTGTGTGCAAATTGGGCAAGGATACAAATGAGCACGAAGTATGCAAGTATGAAGGTTTTCTTCATAAACCTGATTATTAAAGCCAAACGAACTGCTGAATTATCAGGCTATAAGCTTGATGCTGCTATTAAAGCAGCCGAGGTAGACAAATCAAGAATACTGGACAGCAAAAGAACTACTGCAATACATCTCAAAAACAAACTAGAAATCTTTGAGGCTACAGGTAAAAAAAACATAATATTTGTCTTCTCTTAAATGCATTAAAGATGATTCCACCCACATCAATTGAATCATAAAGGTTATTCTCAGTAACAAGACTTTTCTTTACTAAAATAAGAACCAGATTGAGTGATCAGAGTATTGACCATCTTTGCTTTTTAAAATCCTATTATAAAAATTTACATTATTATTTTATATTATGTTTTATTTAATACACAAAAATTACCTTCTAAGTTAGAAGTTTAATCTAAGTTCATTTTCTTTAAATTTTCAACTCTATTCAAAGGCATATTTTTCTTTGTTGTAAGCAGTTTCCAACAAACTTGAATCAATTTTTTTTCTATTTGTGAAAATTTCTGTGTAATTCAAAGGTAATTTTTAATACATATATTACACAGCCATTGTTGTTGTTATTATTTTGGAGATTGCAAGATGTATTAAATTACTTAAAAAAATGAAAAATAATTATATCATTTGATTTCAAGATTTATTTTATATCTTAAAAGTACTTAATTATATTCTGGGATTTCCCAGGATCCTGGGAAACAGATCACTTTTTTCTTGGAAGTCTGAGACAAACAAAGGACCAAGAAATGAGAAACTCTATTTTGTATTCATATCTGGAGTCCCCATGGAAATAGACTAATACCTTATACTTAGACCAAAAAAACCTTGATTTATATTTATAAAAGAAATACATATAAATAAATTCATACCTGATGACTTTCGTCTGAAATTTCTACATTTCCATGATCAACATCATTATTTATATTTTCTATTCCACTTCCGCTATTTTTATCTTTCTTCTGTTTCCATACTACATTTTCTGGAATCTTTCTTTCCAGGAGTGCTCTTAAGCAAGGAGTCCTTAAAGAGAAATTATCTTCAGATTCTTCAATTTCCTTTTTCACTGAAATATCTGTTGATTTATCAGAAGAGTTATTCTTTTGATTTTCATTTGTTAGCTTCTTTGACAAAATTTTATTTAAACGATTTGGCTTCACCTTATTTTTTTTTGGTAAAGTTTTGCATTTTTTATACATATTAGATAATTTAATTTGTTCTAAACCTACATCATTTTCTTGTTGAATATTTATATTTTCAATTTTGGAATTTATTGATGCAGGAACAATTTCATGAAGGGGAGTTTCAGAATCAGTTAGAGCTGACAATGAATCTAAATCATGGGCTTTTGAATTTCTCACTGTTGTAGCTGCTAATGATTGCTGAAGAGAGTGATTTAAGGAATCAGAAGATTCTTTAGGAAGAACAGGCAAAGTTGTAGGCAGTGAAAGTATTGAATGGTTATGATTATTTAAAAATTGCTGCGTTGAATTTACTTGTCCATTATATTGATGGGCTATAATTAAATAATATATATTGCAATTAAAAACTTACTATTTATAATGTATTTTATATAAAAAGTATATAAAAGTAACACATTTTGACACTTTGAGTCATTCTTTTAATTATGAAATAGTTTTATAAGACAAAATATATATAAATTTTTTATTAAGATTTAATTTTTTTTTTACCCCAAAACATGTTTTATTGGAGTTTAAATATATAGATTTTAATATTTCTTAAATTTCAATTAAATACAAATTCAAAGTGTTACAAACTTTAAAATAAAAATTGACTTTTAAAAGAAACAGTCCTTTTCAACATTTAAAGGCATTCCATCTAACTTAACTTTAATCAAAACATTGTAAACATGATAACAAATTGATAATAAAGCAAAAATTATGGAATTAACTAAAGAAATAATAAAATATATATATATATCNTTCAAATAATCTTAAGAATGTTTCATTACCGCATTCCATTTGAGAACGCTGTAACCTGAGGAAAATCTCCTGTGTAGATCGAAAACGTTTGTGTTTGCATTAAAATCTTCTGGAATTGTACTTTTAAGGTTCAGAGATGTGCTGTTTTTATGATATATATCATTATATCGGACAGAAATATATGATTAATTTTACATTACTAGTTACCAACGACCCAGATAAAGTAGCCATTTTGTAAAAATGCAGCGTAGACAACGAAAGCTCGATAGAAAGGGGCGCGAGAGGGGAATCCCCGCGTTAAGTGTTTATTTTATCACTTGCAACGAATAAATCAGTTCGGCCTAGGACAAACTAGTTTAGCCTAAAGTATTTAGGCCAAACTAGATTGTCCTAGGCTAAACTAGTTTATCCTGACACGCGTAGGACAAACTAGTTTGGCCTAGGATAAACTAGTTTGGCCTAAAATCGGGTTTGGCCGGTAACATATATATATATATATATATATCTTTCTAAAAATAACAAAATAAATAAACAAAACTTTTAATGGTTTATAAAAAAAAATTTTGAAATTTTAAAATATTCTGCTCACTATTATTTATTCTTTCAACCTTTCTCGTCTAGTCATTTTCATAAAATTAAAACTTTGCTTCCTTTTTTTTTTTTTATACAGGAGCTATTATTACTTTCTGGCTGTTATGTATATAACATAGAAAGTATTAGAATTGTATCAAATTTGACTAACTTTCTGGGTTTTTTGCAAATATTGTTTGAGACTGCTGAATCCAAAAAATTTCCGCGTGCACGCGCGCGCATGTGTGTCTATTTTGTATATCTGGATTAAGTAAAGATTAAAAAATGAAATTTAGCATGATAACTTCTATATAATGGGAATTAATGCTACTAAATTTTGGTGGTTAAAGTTTAAGGGGATGGAAAGATAGAGAAGGTTTGTGTGTCATACTTCAGGTGGGGTAAATTTAATGAAAATTTTAATCATTATTCACATTTACGATATTTTTAAAAACTCATCTCTACCCTCAAAATAAAACATTTTGACTTTTTATTATAATTAATAATATAAAAGTTTTTTTAAATAAAATCTTTTAAAAAAGGTCACCATACTCAATTTTAAATTTTTCTAATGTTTTTATTAAACATACATATTTTTTGCCAGGAAAGTTATGCAATTCATTACTGGATTATTTTTGAACTAGCAACATTATTGGAAATAGAAATAAGCAGTAACTTGGCAAAATGCCAAAAGCTCAGCAAATATTTTTTCAACTCCTTATATACGTGATGATGCATTTTTGTTTCAGTTATGTTTGTGACTGAGAAATAGGAGAACCTCAAGTATTTAAATGTTTATTTTAACACCCTAAGGGATATTTATTCACTAACAACAATGGTGTTTTATCAAACTTCAAGTTGCATGTAGACAAAATGCGTGGCAATGTTTTATGAATGTTTGTGCGAGGCATGTGACAATGCTGTAGTGCAACATGCCATATTGGGCAACAGCCCAATGGATCAAAGCCTTTCATCACCTCACCATGAATGATAAGCTACCATATGCAGTCGACTCCCCTATAACACTGTTGATTTTTCCGTTATTTGAATTCCATGTTGCACGAGTCCCTATATGAATTCCATGTTGTACGAGTCACTTAGATTTTACAAATACGTGAGCCTTTCACAGCCCAGCATACGTATTTGTAAAATCTAAGTGACTATACAACATGGAATTCATATAAAATGGAAAAATCAACAGTGTTATAGGGGGGTCGACTGTATATATATTACACATGGTGGAGGCACCCAATCATTTCAACAGATGAATGACATGTAGAAGTCATTTGAGGTTACAGGAGAATGATTGTCAATAGGCTTGCCAAGAAATGAGTGCCAAGGTAGGCATTGCAGCTTCCAGTGTTTACATCTTAAAGCTGAAAATGCAAAGTTGTCTCTAAATGAGTACCTAATGCTCTGAACAACATGATGAAATGAAAACAAATGGAAATTGCTCAATTCATTTGGATCGTTAAAAAAGTGAAAGAGAATTCTTCCTTTCTTGGATTATTGCATTTGACAAAATATTATCTACATTCCAACAAACTGGAGATAACACACTGATCAAACTGGCACTAGCAATCATTCTCATGTATAAGAATCAGGTAAGGTAAAAGTACTAGTGGTTATTGCATTAAACTTTCAAGGATGATTACTCTTATTTCATTGTATACCACAAGAACAGACAGTTAATGCTAGATACTATAGCTATTTCCTTGAACACCACTTCATTAGTAATTCATCCAAAAAGGCCTCATCATAGTTGTTGCAATTCCGTCCAAACTGTCTTGCACAACAATGCATACATCCATTCATGGTCACAAGTGAGGACATTGCTAGCAGGTGGTCAATGCCTATGTAGGTAGGTGCAATGGTTGCACAGGCACAGGACCCAGAATAAGGGGTTTCTGAAATGGGATGGAACATAAAGATTATTATTACATTTGCAAATTTTAAATTTTGCTGCCATATAGGATAGATTCTGAAAAATTTTTGGTTAATGTTAAAAATTAATTGACCATTTCTATTGTATTTATTTCTTGTTTTTTATTCCAAAAAGAGAGAAAAAAAATAAAATCTTGCACAGGGCATAAGAAAAGTTAATTACAGCACTGCAAGTGACAGAAGGAGATAGCAGAACACATACTATACTCAACTGACATTAGTCCGTGTGACTGACCTTTTCCCAAAAATGAAAAAACTGAGAGGCAGTTGCTTCTGAGATGTTAAGAGTATCCTTTCTGCTTTAGGACAGTATATCCAGATACTGGATAAAACTAATGCTACTAACAGTGTCATCTCTAGTGTTCACAAAGATGGAAACTACATCAAGACTAAGGCCCTGTACACACTAGGCATTTTTCAACGTGCGTTAAACGCTCATCGAACGCCGAGCTAACGCGCGTTAGCTCGGCGTTTGACGAGCGTTTAGCGGAACGTGCGCACTGGCTCGGTTTGGAAATGGATGTGGAAGTGATTGCTTGTGTGTGGCTCCTCTATCGTCGCTATAAAAGACGACGGCAGAGGCAAAGAGAATTTTGGGTGCACCCAATATTACGAGATAGACTGACGCATGAAATGTTTGCGACGTTGTATCCAAAACTAAGACAAAATAAATTCAAGTTTTTTAATTCTTTTAAAATATCTATAAAATCCTTTGACGATGGTTGGTGTCTTTTAGATATCATCAATAAATAGATCAGTATCGAAATGATCGTTTTCCATTTCAGCACATATATCTCAAAGCGCTCGGCTGACGCCCGCAAAACGCGCGATCGCATGTACGGTAACATGGCAGCACATATATCTCAAAGCGCCCGTAAAGCGCTTGCAAAACGCGCGTTTCAACAAAAATCTATAAACGCGCGTTAAACGCGCACTTGGCGTTTGAGTGTGTACGGCTACATAGAACTCTTGGTTCTTTAAAACGCGCGTTGAAAAACGCCTAGTGTGTACAGGGCCTAACTATCATGCATTTGTTTTATTTTAGAATTAATAAGATACAACACTATTGACACTGTAAATAAAATATGTTTTGTATAATTTCTTAGTAAGTAATGTAACATAGAAATCCACAAACTTTTGATCATTCAGAGTTTATGAGCATAGATTTCTAGTAACTAACATCAGTCTGTAAAATCTGAAAATGGCTTGTTGGCAAAAACAAAAAGTAATAGTTACAAATTAATGTTAAATCAACTTACTTATGTAATCTATTAATATAAAAATTTTGTTTTTTGTGTATGCAACCTAAGGTAGAAATTTATAATATTTACTTCTTATATTTTGTTTTAATTATTAATTTAAGCAAACACTAAAAATATATTAAGCAATATCATAATTAATAATGATAAACATCATTGTTAAGATTAAAAAATTCTTAACATCGAATTTGTACTTCTATATAATTTCTGAAATCAAACCTGTAAATTTGAGATACAGTAAAATATGTTTTCTTTTGAATTTCAATAAAGTATAAAAATATTAAATATATAGTCTATTAATTCTAGCAAAACAGAATTCAGGATTAATTCAAAAATTAAAAGAACATTTAAATTGTAAA